CTCCTGGGGTATTATGGTTATCACAGGAATCCAGAATTAAGGTTACATAGTGGAGTGCCTTCGGGGTGGGGGGATTATATACAAGTGAAGGAGTTTGTCTCTTGCTTTTCGAAGGGAGGGGTGAACTGGGGGGGGGTAGATAAAAATGTGCAACAGTGAATGAATGGAAATCCAAAATCTCTGTAAATGTTAATTAATAAAATAAAATAAAAATGCCATAACGGTTAACCATGGTGGACAGCATTTGGTGAAGCTCCCAGTTTAAGATTCGTTGGAAGCAGGCGTGGCATCTACATCATGCCTCTGGAAATTCTATGAACTTTGATAAATGACGATAGTTATAGAAGGGCTTCAGGCCTTTTGATTATAGGGTCACTATGAGTCATGCTGGACTAGAAGGCAATCAATAACAACATTGTCTCCAGCACCACAGCTAAAAGGCATCAGTTGTTCTTCTTTCAATCCTTATTCATTGTCTAGCTCTCTGATGCATAGCGAGCGACTGAAAAGACTATGGCCTGAATCATGCACACATTATTGACACTATTGCTCCTAAGTACTTTGGAGTGATCCTTTACTGTAGAGTTTCTCCAGCACAATATGTCTCCTCATCTGACTGCTATTATCAAGGGTTTGATTGTGGATCCAAATAAGATGAAATAATTGAAAATTTCAATTTTTTTCTCCATCTATCATGATTTTGCTTATTAATCCAGTGATGAGAATTTTTGTTTTCTTTATATTCTGCAGTACATGCTTCAGGTCCTTCACACTTGAAGCATGCAAGCTTGTGTCATCTTCAACACAAGCTGTTAATGAGTCTTCCTCCTTTCCTGATGCCAAATTCCTGTTCATAGAGTCTAGTTTCTTGAAGATTTGCTCAGCATTATAGATTGAATAGAACACTTAATTGTTCTGGCTTTCCCATTCTTCTCAATGTTAGCTATAATATCTTATGATCCATATAGTCAAATGCCTTTGCATAATCTGTAAAACAGGTGTTCTTCTGGTAGTCTCTGCTTTCAGCCAGAATCCATATTACATAAGCAGTTATATTCCAGATATTACTGCTTCTTTTAAATATAGCTTCAACTTTTGGCAGTTCAATGTCAATGCACTGTTCTAGCTGTTTTTGCATGGCCTTCAGAATATTTTACTTGCGTGTGATATTAATAATATTACTCAATAATTTCCACATCCTGTTGCATCACCTTTCTTGGGAGTAGGGACAAATAAGGATCTCTTCCATAGTCTTCACAATTGCTTGCTAAGCGTTAGAAAGCTGTACAATGACTAGGGATGATAGAAAGACAATTGATGCCTTTGAGCTGTGGTGCTGGAGAAGAGTATTGAATATACCATGGACTACTAGGAGAACAAACAGATTCATCCTAGAGAGAGTGAGACTAGGCTGCTCCTTGGAGGCAAGGATTCTGAGGCTTTGTCTGATTTTGGGCCTGTTGCAAGAAGAGAGAGGGACATCTTTCTTGGAAGGGTGGAGGGACAGAGAAAGAGAGGGAGACCATCGATGAGATGTCAGTGACTGAGGTATTGAGGGTGGTGTGTCAGAGACAGTAAAGTTGGCAAAGGATAGAGTAGGTTTCAGGGCTGTTGTACTTAGGGTCACTATGAGTTGCAAGCAACTCAACAGCACATAACAACAACAATAACATCGATCTCTTCCACTCACTCAGCTAGGTAGCTGTCCTCCAAATTTCTGCATGTAGATTTGTGGGCACATCCAGGACTGCATCTGTTAGTTATAATGTGTCAGTTGATATCCCGTCAATTCCTGGGGTCTTTTTTTTTTTTTTTTTGCCAGTGCCTTCTGTGCAACCTATTTTTCTTCCTTCATCACCATTGGCTCTTGATCATATGGTACTTCCTGAGATGGTTCCATGTCAGTCAATTCTTTTTGGTATGATGACTGCATGCCTGCTATCTTTTTTTCTTTTTAATTTTTATTCAATTTTTCTGTGTGTGTACCATCAAATCAGATCTGACTGGTACAGGAGATTGTCCCTACTTCTCCAGCAGAGTATCTGGTGGATTTGAGCCATGCAGCCGTGGTATTGCACTGCAGTTTCTTGCCACTCTTGCCATCTATGTTTTTATGCTTCTTGGTTCCTTTAAGATTTTGTCCATAGTATCCTTCAGAATTGCAACTTGATGCTTGAATTTGTTTTTCAGTTCTTTCAATTTTAGAAATGCTGAATGAGTTCTTCCTTTTTTAGCCTCTAACTCAGACTTTTTGTAATCAGCAGCTGTACAGAATGCTATTGTATGCATTCATGTAGTAGTATGAATGCTTTTTAAAGTTTTCATACAGTTTTATGAAGTCCAAAAAGCCCCAGGCTTTTTAAATAATGTCTATAACCAGAGAAGTGTCAGTTTGCTTGGCTCCACAATCAACACTCTTGGTACCAGCAAGCCCGGAAATTAAAAGACCAATTGCATTGGGAAAATCTGCTGTCAGGGATCTCTCCAGAGTAGTGAAGAGCAATACTGTCAGTCTGGAGACTAAGGTACACCTGATCCAGACCATGTTCTTCACATTTGTTTGCTATTCATCAGAAAGGTAGACAATGACTAGAGATGATAGAATGAGAATTGATGTCTTTGATCTGTGGCACTGGAGAAAAGTGTTGAATACACCATGGAGAACAAACAGGTTCATCCTGGAGAGAGTGATACCAGGCTGCTTCTTGGAGGCAAGGATTTTGAAGTTTTGTTTGACATAATTTGGACATATTGCAAGGAGGAATCAGCATAAGAGAAGAAGACCCTTGATGAGATGGATTGACTCAGTGACTGGGGTAATAAAGGTAGGTGTGTCAGAGATGATAAGGTTGGCACAGGATAGAAGGGTTCAGAGCGGTTGTACATGGTGTCGCTATGAGTCAAAAATGACTTGATAGCACATACCAACAACAGCCAAAGAATTGAAAAAAACTTGACCATAATAAAAATTTCACTGTTAATGAACACTTACCATATATGTAACAGGAAATACGTGCTGCCATTGAAATCTTTGCTTTTACATGTTGCTTTTCTGTTGAAGTGCATTGGATGCTGAGAATGAGTACCTTGTACAAGAAGCGCTGGATCGGATAATGAAAGGAAGAACTGTGTTAATTATTGCCCATCGGCTGTCCACCATTAAGAATGCCAATATGGTTGCTGTTCTTAACCAAGGAAAGATTACTGAATTTGGGAAACATGAAGAACTGCTTTCAAAACCAGATGGTATATACAGAAAGTTAATGAACAAACAAAGCTTTATGTCATCATAATGAAACAACTATGTATAAATTAAATTTAAAATTGGATTTTAAAGCAAAACAACATTATAAGGAGAAAAAAACCCAACCAACCCAGACCTGGAAACTATAACAATCTCAGTCATATTTCAAATGTGTTTTAAATATTTTTATTTTTCCAAAATACAGAAATACTATTTTGAAATATACCTGACCTTAAGACCTATTGTTCAGAGTTTAATAATTGAAGTAACTTTCTAGATGTCTATAGCACTGAAGTTTTTTTCAGGTCTTATATTTTATCTTGTGATATTTCATTATTATAGCATTACATTTTTACTTCCTTGGCCATTTGTTATAGATTGAAACTATTGTCAAATGACAAATTATAAGAGGTAATATAAGCACAAAGCCTAATTTTGGGCTAGTTTACTACTCACTGTGTAATTCTTTTGGTGTTCTGCCTATCTTGTGTTGTGTCTAATTTTATTTGGTCAGTATAAAATTTACTTGTGCCTATACAATATTTATACAAGATAAAAAAGCTAACCCTCTTTGCAATCTCAAGAAGTGAGCTTAACAACACACAGAAATCCTTTACATTAAATGAAAAGGAAAATTACAAGAGTTGTGCTGCCAGTCCACAGGCGAGTCACCAACTGCTCTTTAAGAAGAAGATGGGCCACTCTCCCCTCCTGCCATTTCCCCTCCAAAAACCTGCTGCAGAAACAGCTATCAATTGGTTTTAATTCAACAAACACAACACAAAGGCTATGTCTTAAAAGTATGAGTTTAGGAATATCTATTAAAGTAGGATTTTGTTTGAATGTGTGATTTTCAACATTTCTGAAATGTACGTGTGATCCTAATGAAATTTTTAAAAAGGGAGGAATCTCAGTCTATCAAAAAGGAAAACATTTTCTTTTTTGTTGTTGTTCACATAAAGGTTTCTGTAAGTCCTTATAAGTCCCTAGATCTGGTGTGAAAAACAATGTATAAAAACTTTCTAAGTAAACCTAAACCAGTATTAAAAAATGAAATGTGTGTGTGTGTGTGTGTGTGTGTGTGTGTGTGAGTAAAATAGAATTTACTGATTTTATAAAAATTTCATTTAGCAGGCTTACAACCTTACATAATTTGGAGAAAGTTTAGAAGTTCTTGCTATTTTCAGAATAACAACAGACTTTAAGAACATGTTACTCTCCAGAAAATATGATGTAAATAATTCTTTTTCTTTCATATGGCTATAATTTTACCCATGTTAATTTCTCACAATACTTAAAATAGTGTTGACAACAACTGGATTTTCATATTTCCTGTTAGTGCTATTAATTTGCTATTGCTCAAAAAGAAAGTACTCTTTCTTCAGTGGTGATACAAGAACCTAAGAAGTAATTCTGCTTATGCAGTTAAAGTCGTAGTTTTCCAAGAACTAAGGAACTCTGGTGGCACAGTGCTTGGATCTTTAGACTCCAAACCAAAAGATCAGTGGTTCAAATCTACTAGCTGCTCAGTGGGAAAAAGCTGAAGGTCTGCTTCCATAAAGATGTACAGCCTTGGAAGCCGTGCATGACAGTTCCACTGTTTTGTTAGGGCTTTGAGTCAGAATCAGCAGCAAAGGGAAGAAGCCCTTGAAGATACTCCCTGCTAATCAAGAAATTTGCAGTTTGAACCTATCAACTTGCCCTCAAGTGAAAGATGTGGTAGTCTACTTCCATAAAGATCACAGCCTTGAAAATTCTTGACGCAGTTCTGTTTACTCTCCTATAGGATTACATTGTTGTGTATTGTTAAGTCAGAACCAACTCATAGCTAACCTTCTAGTGAGTTTTCAGACACAATTAATTACACAGGAGAAGATTGCCCAACTTTCTTCCTCAGAGAACCTTTGCATCGGCATCACAGTTCTTTACCACTAAGCCACCAGAGTGCCCACATAGACTCACAATGAATCACAATCAACTTGAGGGCAGTGGATTTGGCTTTTATTTTATGTCCACATTCATTGTCTAACTGTATGGGCAGAATAAACTACTTAAGGGTTGACTATTTCTATATAAGAGAGTTTATTAATGAATAAAATTACTTCAGTGAATGAATATATGCTGTATTCTTTCTTTTAGTAAAGTAAACAGCACATCTGTGCCAAACATTTTCACACACTTGTATTCTTTTTAAGTCTGAATCAGAGAAATGTATTTGTATCATAGAATTATTTAAAAAATTAAAAATGTAATTTGACCATTGTATGTACAATTGGGTTTGTAAGGAAAATTTTATACCATGAATTAAAATGTATAGCAAAATTTGTATCTTTCATTTGTAAAACGTTTTTTGACATACCATTTCTTACTAGAATTTACCATGGAGATTCAGAAGTGAATAGAAAACTATCATTACAAATATAGAAATGTGAATAATAATCACTCTCTCCTGTCCTCTTTATCTAGGATTGTTACTGTCCTCTTTTGTTACTAATAAACAGTGTGTTTAATTGTTTCAATATTTTATCACCTATCCTTACTTTTGACCAGGAACTGATGACAAATAGGTAAACAGGTAATATCGTAATATCTGTTCTTAAAGAATTTATCATTTAGAAGGAGAGTTAAAACACAAGAAAGTATACTCTATTTTGGTAGCAAAGCTCCACAAAGAGCTGCAGTTCCAACCCAAAGGCAGTGGTTCAAATCCATCAGCTACTCTGGAATAAAGATAGCCAATATCCTCCCATGTAATTTACTCCGTAAATCACACTATAAACCCACTGAAGGGTCAATTCTCAGTCATTTCTGACTCCAAAGTGTGTAACAATAATTTTTATTTCCAGAATCTTTGCCCAGGTTACCACATTTGTTACTTTTTACAAGTCCTGTCATCATTAGGCAAGTACCTATCCTCCCACTTCATAGATAAGGAAACAAACATTGGGAATATGCCAATTAATTAATGACCAATGATGCATGCAGTTTGAAACAAAGTATAAAATAAGGAGACGTTAGAAAACTAGACAGTGCTCATATCATGGCATACTTTCAATGCCAGGCTTAAAATTTTAAATTTTCTCCTTCATACATGGAGAGCCACTGGTAGAGAAGTTTTTCTTACATAAATTTAGGAAATGTCAATCACACGAAATCCTACATGAAGATAAAGCTCCATGTTATAGCCAATAACGTTGTTGTACATCTAGGCTTGTTTCTGCATGCACAGACCTCCTCATAACTTTCACCTCACCAATTTCTAGGATATCATCACAAGTTTAAAACAGTACCCAAATGCTTACAAATGCATTTTTTTTTTCTTGGTTCAAGGTGAATAGAAGCTATAAAAGATTAATAGTTTAGTGTCTCATTACTACTAGTGGATAATACACATCACTTGGCCTATCCAACACCATAGTTTAGGCCATTTCCACCATGTTGAAGAATTTTTTACCCTCCGACCTGTGCTGGAAAGACCTAATCCTACCCAATGCCATACCTTGGCCAACTTTGTGTTTTAAACATGAAGAATGTACAAAAGATGTTTTTGCTTTCAATGCTGCCCACTGCAGCCTGACACTATGGGCCAGTGCTTAGTTGTGCTTGGAGAAATACTCTTTACTCTTCTGGACATCAGGTTTGATGGTATCACGTCCAGGCAGCTAGGGACATTTTCCCGTATTTGTCAACTAGAAGACTTGAATGAGTCTTGGAGTCTCATCCAAAGAGCAGCCAATAGGGAGATCATTTATTGTGATCTGCCAAAAGATCCCTTTATCATCAGTGATGAAAAGGTCTTTAAGACTTCATAGTCCTGGGCAATGTTGCACTTCAGGTCTGATACTAAAGGAATGCTATGGGTCCTAGCCCTCCTTGTTTCTTGGACATGTTGATCCAACCCAGGTGATAGAAGTGAGAACCCTTGCCAAGTAAAAACCAATTACTTGGCAGTTGAGCTTCTTAAATTCAGCCCTCTTGAGGGAGGAGTGAAAGGGTGTGGGACTTGACTTTGTGGCAAAGGATATGGCTTCTTTTGGATCAGCCCCCTGAGGTGAGAAATTGTATCGATGGTGGCAGTGGAGAAAGCAACGTGATGAGCTGGAGGAGCAGCAAATGGCAAAGAAATGGACCACTAGAGAGACTGTCACAGCTCACAGAGGCCGATGTGGCACAACGTGGACAGTAGGAATTTGAGTCAGAACTTTTATTCAAATAATTTGTTTAGGAGCTATAGGATCATCAAGCTATGGGCCCCAGCCAAAGCTGGAAGCCACCAGCAGAGCTGCTGTGGGATCCATCCACAAGGAGAAAGAAGGTTAGTAGGAAATTGAGTTCTCTTAAGCCCAACTAGAAACAAGGAGGCCTGTTGGACTTTGACTGAGTTTTCTTGTGCCCCTGCCGACCATCCAGGATCAGGTAGGCCAGTTGGAATTTAACTGAGTTTTCTTGGGCATCACCAACTGTCCAGGAGAACACCCAGGAGCAAGCGAGCCAGTAGGACTTTGACTTGAGTTTTCGTGGACACCACAGACCAGCCCAAAATGAGTGGGTCAGTGGGAATTTGACTGAGTTTTTTTAAGTCCTGCTGGACCCAAGGCCCTGCTGGGGCAGGGGCCGCTGGGTGAGAGCACCTGGCTGAGGGCCTCTAGGCAAGGACCGTTGAATGAGAACCACTGGGTGGGAGACAGACAGCTGGAATGTGAGTAGGGATGCCACTCCTGAGCATACTTGGACAGCTAAAATCTGAGTGAAGTCCCCACAAGTGGCTGGCCCACCCCAGTGGTCACCTCGCCCTTGTGGTCACCCCACTCCCTGTACCTGCCCTGTCCCCCATTCGGCTCCCCACCTGGGCCTACACGTGCAGTAAATCAACTTGCATTTAATCCAGAGCACCTTGATCTGACTTAGCTACAAGAGGCTGCTCTCACAGGCCCTCAACTGAACTTTCCCTTGAGACAGAAGTTCAGAGAAAAACACAGGTGGGGTAGTTGCCCAACTGATTTCTAGGGCATTGTCTTCAGATCAATAACCTATCAATGTTTTGAAGGA